GATACAGGAGCAACAGCATTGGCAAAGGCACTGGAATCAAATTCTTCTTTAACATCTCTAAATCTAAGATATAACAGCATAGGTGATACAGGAGCAACAGCATTGGCAAAGGCACTGGAATCAAATTCTTCTTTAACATCTCTAAATCTAAGATATAACAGCATAGGTGATACAGGAGCAACAGCATTGGCAAAGGCACTGGAATCAAATTCTTCTTTAACATCTCTAAATCTAAGATATAACAGCATAGGTGATACAGGAGCAACAGCATTGGCAAAGGCACTGGAATCAAATTCTTCTTTAACATCTCTAAATCTAAGATATAACAGTATAGGTGATACAGGAGCAACAGCATTAGCAAAGGCAATGGAATCAAATTCTTCTTTAACATCTCTAAATCTATGTTCTAATAACATAGGATATACAGGAGTAACAGCATTGGCAAAAGTACTCGAATTAAATTCTTCTTTAACATCTCTAGATATAAGAGATAATCAGAATTGGGCTACATATACAGTAGCAGCATTACTGGTTTCTGTTTTCTTAGTATACTTATTATTATACTATATTGTGTGAAAAGTTATATTAATCCCATTCCAGATTCTGGGAATTGGGCCCATTTCATGATGGGACAATTGACAAAAAAAAATTTATCACAGTAAAACGATTGCACTCTTATTTTTCAATGGTGGAAGAATTGTTTCTTTAAACCACATGTCCATAAATGCTTAATTCCAGTTTTTAACATATCTACCTAAGTAAAGAAGAGGTGAATGAATACATTTTCTGAAATGTGGGTAAAGGTTTTAGAATAAGACCAAATATCTCAACTCACTCCATATTTATAAAGCTTGCAGATCTGTATACTTTTACATTCAGTGAAGCTAAATTCAATGTCAGTTTTGATGGTTCATCAATAAGATGCACAATAATATTGCTTACTATTATTGATATAGACATGTCTTATTCTTGCAATTAGTGAGGTACATTCTAACTCAATTGCCCCATTTCAGAAACTCTCATATATGTTGTACCGTTTATATTGGCTAAACGGTTTCATGATTGCAGGTGCCACAAATTGACTATCGACTAAGTGCCACAATCATTATCAGCGTCACACAGTTGAATATCATGTGATACAAGGTTACAACGCGTCGGTTTTACACCAACTTGGCAGTTTCAATACATCAATTTTAACATTACAAGTATTCTGAAACTCTTTACTTGTTACTTCAGATGAGGAATAGCGATTTAAAACTCACAGAACAATTAGACTTACGTTACATTTAGGTGAGGTTGCTAAAGCTCATGAGTTACAATCAAATATTTCATTCCTCACCACGCTGTTCATACTTTTACTTACGACGGTAATGAGACATTAGGAGACTTAGAACTGTTACTTGATACTATACAAAGGCATTTAAATAGTATGTATATAACACACGCAGTAAAATATTTTTCACTGGTTAAAAAGTCCGATATTTCGATAGTTGATGACATCGACAACAAAAGCACCTATGCAATATGATATCAGCGTGACCTATGTAGTATACTAGTGATTTTATAACAATATAAGATGTATGACTAACTTTTTGACTTCCAAAAATATTAGTAAAACGTCAATTGAAACTGCTTCAGGACTCTAGATATTCCAGAGTACAAAAGTCTATTATGACAGCGTGAGTAGATAATTATGTTCAACTGGCGCAACTGGTACGCCCACTTTTTCTAGCTATGTCAGAATTAATGACACCATTTCAAACAAACGACGGATTATGTCTATTTTCGAACCTATAGTGGAAGGAGGAAATATTCATCCAGAAGCAATGTGTGAGGAAACTACGTAAGTTTTCATGGTGGGTCGGTTATGAGCAAGACTAATTTGGTTAACTGTAACAAGGCTTCCGTACGTGCTCGCCGAGGTGTGACTTTGGACGAGTATGAACATTGCACCGACAAGTTTAACGTTCATGGTTTATGGGAATGGGCAAATTTTAGAACTTCCATTAGAGCCACACACATTCTTCGCTACTTCTAAGGAACACCAGTACACCGTGAACAATATAATAGACGTTGTCAATTTGAGTTGGTGATTTGCGAGCAAGGAATCCATTCAAGTTTACTTTCTAAGCAGTACCCGATGCTACACATTCCTACATTTTATTTATTTATTTTATTTTTTTATTTGATTTTTCCTGATGCTTATTCGTTCGTCCTTTTCCTTCGCACTAATGTTCAAATACCCCGTTTACCGCAAATTTTTTTATTTAAATGTTTGTGGCGAATCTTATTTATACTTTATTACTCGCGCGGAATATGTCAATAACCTCGCGGCTACCAACAGTCTATTGGATTTATTTGAACTAAAATCATGATTACAATTATTGGAAATTTAATCGTCATATCTTTTTACAGGCTATTATGCCATTGAGTTTATATCTTTGTTGACAGCTGGAAAGCAAATATAGCACAATTGTCAGAAACTAAAGAATGAACCGCTCACCAAGAGATAATCGATACCGAAAAGTTAGTCAAATGCATAAATACCTTTGTATATCAGATAAATTAAATCATAGTTGTACCAAAAATTTTAAGAGGCTTGCCTTTTATTAGCCTCTCGCAGACAAACTGCTGAATAATTGGTGGATAATAATTGAAAAACAGTCATGCATGGCGAACTTAACACGAAATGGATGGATTTTCAATCATTGCTAATACGTGTACACAATATGATCCCCATCCTCAAGAAAAATTGACCTATCATTAGCTAGACCAATGAATGATGATGAAATTCGTGGTGTCATGTTTGACGCGTTTGTTGTCGGTACAGATACGGTAAATAATATACTGCAAATCATGTACTTATTCTGTGTAATTTAATCTGTCATTAGTGTTGATTGATCTATTTATCTATCGAATTTTTAGACCGCAAAGAGATTGAAACGGTTTTTAAAGGTGACCCAACCAGACAGAAGACCTCTCAAAATTGAAATACTGTGAAGCGATAATTAAAGGGTAAGACCTATGGTTAGCATGGTCACACGTTATTTATAAGGTACGTTCGTGGAATCAATAACAATTCACTTTACTGTAAAGAACCTGAAAAGTTTATCCCGGAAAGGTTTTATGATACATAAAAATTCTTTTTCAATGTTTGGTGGAAGTCAACGATCACAGTTAAGTATTGGAATTATTTCTAATACTAAAAAAAGTTAATAAATTCATGTTTTTTGTATACTCTATTACGAAGATTCGTAATAAAGCAACATTCGTGAAAGATGAAACTTTTCCTCTTATTATGTAATTATCACGGGACATGTTCACCGAATAATTTTCGCAAGAATTTTGCGTTTATGTAGATTTATAACTAGGCTTAATATTTATTATATTAATATTGCAGCAAAAAAATTTTTTAGCTTATCATAACAATGTACTGTTAATTCGTGACTCTTTCTATCCTTGTCAAATGAAAATCTTAAAGCCATACCGTCAAATTTGTAAAACAAAATTAATTGTGTTCTTGTTAAGGACCCAGTCACTAGTGGGATGACATGATTTGTATAGAATAAAGTAGTTAAACAAAGTAAGAAGTACTTGAAGAGTAAACAGAAAGGAAGTGTACTTAATTATTGAAAATTTTTGGGAAATTTTGAATTGATCAAATCATCACCAAGTTGTCATGCCGTATATTTGAGAGTGCAACTATACACGACACTCGAAAAGATTAGTTCTTATTCGAACCTTGGTAAGTTTTGAAAACCAAGTCATAGTAATAAACGGAAGAACTACCATTAAATGCATATGTCGGGTCTCACTTTTAGTTGATCATATACGTGTTATTCTCCGTTTCAATAATAAACGCATTCACATATTTGTGTTCCTACGTTTGAAGAAAACTATAGTAAACAGATTTTCCGTCATTATTTATTTGCTTGCTTCTGTGCATTCATTAACACGCGCAAGTCTCGGTATTTGTGCCTGGATCTGAACCCTATATCTCTTGTGTCCCATTTATTCGCGCTTCAAGTGACTGTTGTGGAGAGAATCATAGCATCATAATATCAATAATCAAACCAAGCACTATTGAATTTTTGAATATGAATAGGTCTTATCAACATAATTCAATTAAAGAAATGTGCTAACATCTTTAACACAAAAACTCATTTAATATTTATTTCAAGCGTCAAGAGTATTTGTATAAATGAACATCAATTCATAGACCCATGACCTGATATTTTTTGTTATGAGAATTTTAACAATAGCGTCGTAGTTAAATTGGACAAATTTATTAATCCAAAAATAAACGGGCAATTAACTGCTCAAATAAAAGACAAGTCACAAGATAAACGTACGCGCATTAAACCAAACAAAACGCGGGAGCGTGAACGGTACTTGTTAAAATACGTACAGTTAATGTGAGATAGTTTACAATTGAACATAGCTGTTGTATTATTTGATGCGTATATATTTTTGAACATTCGTACCCAGTTTTACAATAGTACAGGCTAGATACGGGGGAAGGGGAACAAATGTATTGCACAGTCGTAATTTATTTAATTCCGTAAATTTTTTACATAAAATAAAAAACCAACTTATGGACCACTTACTTCATCAATTGTCTAAATAAAATTTTAATGTTTATTTAATACATATACAGCGTGTCATGATGAGCAGAATAACAAATTAGTAAAAATCCTAATTTTTTTTTTTGCTTTGGTGCATATGGAAAATATTGCACACTTTTATTTATTTAAAGCAGCAATCACAGCTTGAAATGATACGTAGAGTGTCTGAAAAGTTTTGACTATGTACAGTCCCCGTCTCAAAAGTCACCGACCACTCCCTTACATTTGCAATTATATTGGCATAATAATAACGAGCAATGTAATCACAGTGAAATAATACTGGTTTTAGCGCACATTATACACAAAAAATTGCGAGAACCTATTCGGCCAAGTCGAGGAAACAACGTTTCTGCTTCGAAACATAATTACTCAATTTTATGTTAATATTCTGCAAGATTGTATTCCTGTAATTAAGCAAATGCTATTGGAAAGAA